TCTGAAAGTGGGCAGCGAGGTTGCTTCGATCGGTCCAAGTGCTCTCTCAGCTCACCGAGAGAAGTCTTCTGAAGCTATGGGATGACGCCACGAAGAAGTACGGTCAGATAATAACGAGTTTCGTTGTCGTCCCTTTCGAACGAGCGTATAACGCGAGCCGTAAAGCTCTAAACCACCTCTGTTTTTCTCTTCTTTTGCTTTTGGTAGACGGTGTCAAAAATTTTTATGCTCAAACAAGCCTGTCTCTCTGGATGGCCTCACCTGCTACGATGCCATCAAAATAGCCTGTACTGTGTCTTATGCTGTATGGAGAATCCTACTTTTATTTAGCAAAAGTATCCCTTTTCTTCTGCGCGCACAATGCGCAATAAAAAAAAATAAAAAATATTTTTGGTCTGTAAAATCCTAAAGAATAAGAAAACACTTTTTCAAGTTAATCAGTTATAGTATTTTAGTAATCATATTCTTAAACTTTTCCAAACTTTTCCCGCCTAATGTGAATAAAATTCTGGTAAATGTATTAAATATTTACTTGCAATGTTTGGAATATTTAAATGCAAAGTTTAGTGAAAATTGTGTAAAGATTAAAATATCCTGATTAAATAAATGTTTAGCGTGAAACCTTACTGAACATTAAAATTTAATTTTCCGGAAATCGGGACATTTAAATCTGACATAAATTTCACTATACTTTAACATTTCATTATTCGAAACATTGCAACAAATAATAGACTTATAGAAGAATTTTAGGTATAAAAACACTAAAAAAATTGAATTATGGAGAAGTTACAAATTATTGCAGAAATTCAATTATTTTCAAAAATTTTAATAAAACTCTTGGCCAAATTTCAATTATTTTCAAAAAATTTCCTCAATTCAATCATTTTCAATATCCACTATTTTATAATAACATTTTTCAAAAGATTTCAATTATTTAAAAAAAAGTATTGATAAAATTTAAAGCAAACATTACATTATTTTCAAAAATAATAAAATTTTTTACCGAGATTCAATTATTTTCATGAATAATAATCATCATAGAATTTAAATTATTTTTATTAGAATTTTAATCGAATTCCTAAAAATTTAATTATTCTTGAAAATTTGATTAAAATTCGTCGAAAAAAAGGGAATTATTTAAAAATTTGTTGATAAAATTCATTACGAGGATTCAATTTTGAAAAATATTTGTTTATGCAATAAATTATTTATTTTTGTATTTAAATAATTGAATTCTCGTACAAAATTTCTAATAAAAATTGATTTAAAAATGAATTTGAGTTAAAATTTTACATAAAAATTGAATATTAAAAGCATTATAGCAAGAAGTTTTGAAAAACAATTGAATTTTGAATATTTTTGAAAATAATTACATTTTTCAAAGAATTTACTTAAAATTGGATTCAAAATAATTGAAATCCTGTAAAGAATTTTATTATTTATCATAATAATTGATTTCTTATAAAGAATTTCTATTACATTTTTTTAAAAATAAAATTGAAGTCCTGTGAAGAATTTTATTAATTATGAAAATAGTTCAATTCTTGCAATCAATTTTTATTAAATTTTTGTTTAAATAATTAAAATCCTGTAAAGAATTGTATTATTTATGACAATAATTGAATTCTTGCAACGCATTTTATTACATTTTTTGTTAAATAATTGAATTCATTTAAAAAATTTTATTAAAATAGTAGATTTTGAAAATATTTGAATTTCAGCGAAGAATATCATTATTTGTGAAATGTAATTGAATTCTTACAAAAAATTTTTGAAAATAGTTAAATTTTTTACTGAGATTCAATTATTTTCTTAAATAATAAAAATTATCATAGAATTTCAATTATTTTTAATACAATTTTAATCAAATTTCACGAAAAATGAAATTATTCTTAAAAATTTTATTAAAATTCGTCGAAAAAATTGAATTATTTAAAAATATGTTGATAATATTCTTTATAAGGATTTAATTTTGAAAAACATTCAATTATTCAATAAATTATTTATTTTTGTATTAAAATAATGGAATTCTCTTAGAAATTTCTAATAACAATTGATTTAAAAATGAATTTTAGTTAAAATTCTACATAATAATTGAATGTTAAAAGCATTATAGCAAGAATTTTTAAAAATTAATTGAATTTTGAATATTTTTGTAAATATATTTACATTTTTCGAAGAATTTACTTAAAATTGTAATAAAAATAATTAAAATCCTATGAAGAATTTTATTATGTACAAAAATAATTGTATTCTTGTAAATAATTTTTATTATGTACATTTTTTTAATAATTGAAATCCTGTAAAGAATTGTATTATTTATGAAAATAATTGAATTCTTGCAACGCATTTTATTATATTTTTTTAAAATAATTGAATTCATTTAAAAAATTTTATTAAAATAGTAGATTTTGAAAATATTTGAATTTCACCGAAATTTCATTGTTTGTGAAATATAATTAAATTCTTGCAAAAATTTTTTTGAAAATAAATTAAATTTTTTACCGAGATTCAATTATTTTCATAAATAATAAAAATCATCTTAGAATTTCAATTATTTTTAATACAATTTTAATCAAATTACACGAAAAATGTCATTATTCTTAAAAATTTTATTAAAATTCGTGAAAAGAATTCAATTATTTAAAAATTTGTTGATAAAATTCTTTTTAAGAATTTAATTTTAAGAAACATTCAATTATTCAATAAATTATTTATTTATGTAATTAAGTAATTGCATTCTCATGGAATTTTCTAATGAAAATTGATTTAAAAGTGAATTTCAGTTAAAATTTTAGATCATAATTGAATATTAAAACATAAAACCATTATAAGGTTGATTATTAGAAATAATTGAATTTTGAAAAGGTTTCAAATTAAAATGATTTCATACTTTTAACTCACAATTCTGTAGAATTAATTTTTTTAAAAATATTTAATTACATTTTTTTATAATTATTTCAAGTTTTTTTCTATTGACGAATTTCCAAACAATCGCAATTTCGTAAAATTTAATTTTAAATAAATGAATTTGAAAATTCTGAATGAATTTTTCAAAAATTATTAAAAATAATTGATTTAGAGAAGAATTTTAGTTAAAAATTCTAGAAAATAGTAATTGATTTTATCACTCGGTCTAAGATTAACTATGTTCAAAGTGAGTCTTAGTCGAAGTCTAAGTCTAACTCTAAGTCAAAGTCAAATACTAAGACTTAGACTAATTCTTAGACTTAGACTTTGACAAAGACTTAGACTGAGACTTTGACTAAAATGGATTATTTTAATTTTTTTTTGGTGTTAATTTAATCTGCAAAAAATTGACTATAGAAAAAGGTTGTTGCGAGTGTTATTAAAATTTTTATTTTTAGATAAAATAAAGAATGAAAAGTACCGGACTTAATTTAAAATGACACATATATTAAATGAAATTTTTGAAGTATCACTATATATAAGTGCACAGGGCAGCTCTCGCTGAATCAAGGAGTACAACTCTTTCCGATATGAAGGTCGCTTCGGGCACACAAGGCGAGTCTTGAGGTTCTATACATTTTATGGGGTACTTGTCCACGGTGTTAAGTTCGCAGTAACGCGTTATTTTTCCCCGGGGGGGAGGCCACATTACCAGATTGGCTCGCACGGTTAGCATTCACCAGTCTTTTACATTCATGAAGCTTTTATACGGTTGATTTGACTATACGCGTTTCGTATTCACGGCTCTCGATTTGATTTGCATTGATTGGAGTGCCGTCCGTGCCGGTGTCGGCTTTTCCGATACATCCACAACTATGCTTGCCCATAGGAAATGCCGCACGCACACTCAAAGAACCCGTATGTATACATTCTACGCATATTCGCTGGGTAATACAAACTGAAAACTGCAAATCCAGGCCACTCGTATAACCAACCCGCACTATACCCACTATACTATCTTCCATACGAAAATTCTTTTCAAACTTCTAAATTATTTATGAACTCCGACCTGCTGGCTACAAAGAAAAATGCAACCACTTTAACATTTATCACTGATCTTTACTGGATACATTTTTCGTTTCATAAAATTCTTAGTTCCTTTTTGACTTCAAATTTTCATTTTTGTTTTCTTTGTTGACTTAAAAGGAAATTTAAATAGCAATTTATTTATTATAATAATAACACCGATTCCCATAAAACGGGAAAACTTAAATTCAAACAAAAAAAAAAAATAGAGTCTTGGCACTAAATGGGTTAAAAATTTTTGTAAAGATAAAATTTTTCATATCCAAATGAAACTTACTACTTTCCCAAGGTTAGAAACACGAAAGCCTTTTTTAAATCCTCTCTTTCATGTTTCCGGTCGGTGACTACATATTGTCCGCATGTTGACAGGCAACAGTAATAAATGAATCGAAAGACGACTCCCTAAAGAGTGTCACTTAGCACTGAATGAGAATATGACGACAATGAAGAATTCAACAACCAAAATATTTAGCGTGGACGCGGATCACGTTATGATCATTAATAAAAATCATATTGTCGTTAATAAAAACATTTATTTATATTCTTGCCTTCAATCTCATGATGGAATGTGTCTCTAAAGGTCACTCGATCAACGGATCAAGAAGCTTTTAGATTAAGATGATGATGAAGAGGAAGATGGAAAAAAGTAAAAATATATGGAACCCTAAAGATCTAATCGTCCTAGGATGATGTTCCACTTTTTTTTATAAAGTAGCAGAACACCTGGAACATTCTCAAGATTAAATTGATATGTAGCAACACTTTTACGCCTCTCATCATTTGCATCATTCACCTCACACTTTGCCATCAAAAAAATCTATTCTTTACCAATTTTTCCTTAACAGTTTTTTTATTTAAAAAAAGAAATTCTTAAATAGAAAATGAATGTGGTATATTAAATAACTTCTATTTCTTCTGTATAATTTTTATGATTAAAATAAATAAATTTCAATCTGTATTTGAATACAACGCAATAATTGCTATATCAGAAAGTAGAAGGAATTTTAGACACGCTTTTCCTTATCAGATTCATCATTATAATAAACAGCTTTAGAAACAGACAATTCGGGAAATATTTTCATCCTCTGTGACTCGTGATCCTTCTGGAGGGAGAGAAATTCAACATAACCTTCTTGAAGTTTTCTAACGAGATTTGATCTTTTCATGAACATCGTCATCTTTTTATCGAGCATGTCTCGCTGCTTTGCTTCTCCAACAAGATCGCGTTTCATTTCCATCTCATACTTAACCACATTCATCTTTGTAATCATATTATCAAGGGTCTCATTCTTCATTTGCACCTGCTGTATCCGTTTCTCGACGTCATCCAATTTCACCATCCAGTCCCTCAACAGCTTTTCAGAGGCTCGCTTTGTGGCTTCCAATTGCCTCTCTAAATTCTGTGGGGTCTTGTCGTCAGGAAAACCCCTTGCCTTACGTTTGAGAAATAATTGAATTTGTTTGGTGACTTGAATCCGTTCAATGGAGTAAAGTTCCTCCATTAGGTCATCAATTTTCATTTGTAGACATTTGTGCTCCCATTCTTTGAGTACAATTCCCTTTTTGAAATTTAGTGCTCGTTTAATAACACTCATCTTTTTTGAACCAATTTCCAAAAGCTTTTCATTCACCCCCAAAATCTCTGTTCTTGGAATCAAAACACTGCTCTTTGCATCTTGACTCGATAATTGTGGTTCAATTTCCACTTGACCCATTTTCAAGACCAATTGAATTTCTATATTACTTTCGTAATCTATTCGCTCCTGCTTCGAGGCGTTTAATTTACTTTTTAGTGTTTCAATTTTTAGCCTATAATTTGATGCCTTTTTGTTAAAATCCAAAAGTGTGTGATTTGCATCACTGATTTCCAATTCTTGCGCCTTGATCTTCATCTCGATGTCAATCTTAAGTCTCCGAAGGTGAAGGAAACCTTCCCAATGATTAGCAGTTACGGAAGGTGGTAAACTTCCTGGTTTTAGATCTAGATGATCCAAAGCCTTTAGATAATCCGAACAGACAGCGGGTAATTGTACCGGTTTTGTCAGCATGACAACAGCATTTCCCAGATCTACAAAATCATTTGGGGTCAAAGTTTTCAAAGTAATTCGTGGTCTCCGTTTATAGTGGTTGTAAAGTTTTTCAAGGACCCCTTTTTTCAATCCAGGGAATTCGGATTTGAATTTTTTCTCCAACGTTCTCTCACGAAGACAATAATTATCGTGAGGCATCTGAAGATCCTGGATTTCGGTTTGAATTTTACTGATATTATTATTTAACTCAAGCAATAGTTTACGAACTTCCTCGATTTCTTCCCTAATTGCATCTTCCTTTTTAGTAAAGTCGAGTCTATGAAGATGTCGAAGGCAATACCGGACGTTCTTTAAGTTTTGTTGTTTTATCGCTGATTCAACTTTCATCCTTAACTGAAAAAGAAAATTTAAATTAAATAATTTTCAAAACAAAGATCTCGACAAAGATCGTGTTGAAACAATAATTGCACCTGAAAAGCTTCCTCTAGACGTGAATTAAATTTCTCAATTCCTTCACAAAGAATTTGGTGAACTTTACAAAAATCCGTTTCTAAAATTCTTCGATACTTTTCTCGTTCTTGATGCAAATTTTCCACATCTTGTTCATATTGCTTAATGACGAGAATATCCTCCTTGGTACGCTGATCAGTAGGTTTGAGCAAACACACCGGCTTTGGAATATCTTTTTTGATAGTATCTTCCCAACGTACTTCCAAAACGCCATCCATCATTCTCATCAGTGCCTTCTCACGAAAATCATCAGCCAATAGAAGCTGTCTGATACGTTCCGCCTTTGCATTTTTCAGGTCCAAAATTTCCTGTTCAGATGGCGAAATATAAGGTTTTACTGACACCTCCTGATCGTAAACGGTGATAATATTCTCAGGTATTTCCTTTAGTTGCCATTTTGGATAATCCGGCATTTCGGGCACTGTTTGATCAAACATCAGTCTAAGTTCGTGATCAATATACTCAATTTTCTCAATTCTCTCTCGAATAAATGACATCTCACGTTCCTTTATATCAAACATCTCATCGAATTGACGATTCCAATAATCACGAAGTTTCATCGCGTCTATTTCCTGAAAGATACTCTCCAAACGAAACTGTGAGTAACTATAGTAGGCAAATTGTGATATTTGATTACATGGCTCCACGAAACGATAAGTCGTTAATCCTTAAAGAAAATAAATTTAAATTTTACAATTACTTATATTCTACAATTCATTCTGTAAATGTTATGTTGAATGCTTCAAGTACCTTCGCTTTCCAATTGATTCTCCAATTCTCTGTTATATGCACTTTGAGCATCATCTTCGTGGGCTTCTAGAAGAGCATCCATTCGTTCCTTCTCATCGTCTCTCGGCAATCTTCCTACTTTTTCAAGCTCTACACTGAGTTCCCTAGTTGTGTACAAACGCCAAGGAGCAAATGAATCTTTTTTTCTTAGCTGATTAATTATATCGTTATTAAATACAGCCCATCTTTGCTGCTCGTTACTGTAAGGTTTAAACGAGTCGTTCATGTAATTCTCCACCTCCGTCGTACCAAAAATGGAAAATATAGATTTCGCTAAATTGATCTGCGAATCCCAGTATTTAGTCTTTAACCAATCGGACAACTGATCCATTTTTGTACAATTGTGCTCCAGCTCTAAACGCGTGTCTTCTCTCTCATCTTTTGCGGCCTTTGTCTTCTGCTCTCGAGTCACTTTATCGAGATCAAATGCTGATATTGGTAGCTTTTCCATATCAGGACAGACTTCATTTCTATTTATTAATTCCACAATCTTAAATTTTAGATTTTTGAATTCAGACATAATTTTCTCACGTTCAGTTACACACTGCAGTTCCTCTTCGTGAATTATTTTCTTTTCAATCCATTCCTTCCATGTCATGTTCTGTCGCTCTTCTGGAGGTGCAAATTCCTGAAGAGGACGTGAGAGCATATCGTGTATGACTGGATCAAGGGAATCGTAATCTGGAAATATTTTCTGATTTTCTTGCTCACTGAAACGTACTTCCTGCAATTGTTCCCTATCCTTCGAATTAGTTTCAAGTATTTCCGAATATCTAAATGATACAAGTGAACCATCAGCTCCTAGGGCAATCATCAAATCGCCAGAAGCTTTAACCATTGACTTCACAACGCCACGATCCGTTCTATGATGAGTCATCAGTACTATTTTTGTGCTTTGAATCATTTTATCTCTCACGATCACAAGTCCATCAATTCCACTACTGGTGATCCAATTTCGATCGCAAAATATAACGGTTTCTTTCATTTGATGACCGGAAATTATTGCCCTCTCTACGCTTAAATCTTGCCAATTTTTCAGTTTCAAAACTTGAAGCTGCCTTGTTTGACAAGGTGTACCTTATTTGGAAAATATATTTATTAACACTGGTTGAGAATTAATCATTAGTGATTATTATGAATTATTTATTTTATCATCTTCAGATATACTTTTGATTACCAATCAGTAGAAATGGATCTCCAGGAACGTACTCCAAATTAAAAAAACAGTCTCTAAAATTTATGACTCTAAAAGTGTTTCTAAATTCAGGTTCATTTTGGTAAATCTCATAGACGAGTAATTGTTTGCTAGCAGATGTTTCTTCTGTTTGTTGTAGTAGAAATACTCTCAACGAATTTGTAGTCTCAAATGCGAACAAATCAGAAATTACTGTTTTCACTGATAGTTCTCCAATGACGGAAAATGTTTCCTTTCTGGACAGTTTGATGCAATACAAATTACCACACTCCTTATTGCTTACTAACAAAAATCTGCGAAAAAGATGCTTAATAAAATATCTAAAACCAAACACTCCTACAACTTTAACGAATATTATAAATTATAATTGTAATCTAAATTCTTATTCTTAGTCGAAAGCTTTAATATGTTTAATATTACAATAAGAATATTATTAGCGATACCTGCCAGATTGAGAAAATTTCAACAAATCCAATCTCTCCCTCTGCAAATGAAAGTGAGCAAATATTCTTGGTTTCAAGGGATCGAGCATACTGACCAAAACCACTTCCCCATTTGTTGAGGCTACCACCACCATCGGATAATCCGGATGCGAAACAAAGCAAGTAATTTCTTCCAAATTCAAATCGAATCTACTAACTTCCGTTCCTCCTAGAGCTTCAATAACAGCAAGTGACAGAAAATTATCAACAACCACCAAATGATGTCCAAAGGGATAAACAAAGTCAACAAATTTTACGAATCCTCCATAAAAAATACGGGTTTCTATCACAGGATCATTTTGACCTTCAACACAAGTCAATTCCATTACATGACCTTCTATCGTATAAAAGAATAATTTATTTTTCTGAAATGGAGACGACATCAAAACACATGGTCTAGTTGCAGTTTTCACGTACCACTGCTTATGCCAACCAGAATCATCCTTCTTGTAAAATCGAATTTGACAGAAAGTCGTTCTTAGAACAATTCCATCGTTAAACCAACAAACTGCCGCTGGTTCAATTGTCGGACAAACTCCACAATGTTGCGATTGGACAATTCTTTCAATAACTGTACCATCCCGATTGGACAGATAAATATGTCCATCACGATCAGTAATTCCCAGTAGTGCATCACCAGAATTTGGACACCAATTTACGTCACATATTAATGCCCTTTTAGGTAGAACAACTTCATAGTCTTTTATACTTATCATCTGTCCCGCGATTGCAAAATCCCAGATGCATAATTTTCCCAATTTTAGACCAACTTGGGCAATTAGAATCGGTTTATGATAATTAGTTCGTAGTGTCTGAGTTTCGGCATCTTGAATCCAGGTGTTGATTGATTTCAACTGTTCGCCCGTTCTCCAGGACCAAATGATGAGCGTAAAGTTGGGATAAGTACCTAATGACACTAGAAAGTCGTCTGTAAAAGTTGTTGCCAGATAACCTAAATTTCTTCCAAGATTGCATTCTGATATTTTTATCATCGACGGATATGAGTAGACGAATAATCGAGGATTAATTATTTTTTCTGCATAAGCAAAAATACTTAGAGTTGGATGACTTGATAGTGAACAAGGCCTTTCGCCTGTTGACGATTTCGAGCACCAACGTAGAAATTGTTGACTTTTTTTAATATTGTAAAAGACAATAAATAATCCTGAACACCATGCCATTACGTCTTTTCCAATCCATATAACATCTTTCACTTTTCCTCCTCGGATCCAGTTTGGTTTCCAGTTTCCCTTTGCGGTCATTTTCATTGAATGTTTGTTTACCTTTTTGACAAATTAAACCATCAACTGAAGTGAACTTCGTCGAGTTTAATAATCGATCGCTGTATTTATCAAATCAAATTTCCCGTCATCGTTTTTTTATATTTTTTAAGAAAAACTATTTGATCGTTCATGTAAATTTAGAATTTAGAATTCTTGAGTCGAATATGAGATAAAAAAAAGGTTTTAGTTAGAAAACTTTTTTAGTGTTTAAATTCCACAGTTTTTTTGAAAGTAACAAATTGAATTAGGTTAAAAGAAATAGGTGTATCAAAGCGATTTTTAAAGTTCTACAAGTTTTATAAGACTTTAAAAGTTACTTCTACATTTAAAGAAGAAATTTTTTTAATAAAACTTTCTTTACAATTTTTGGTTTTTAAAATACCAATAATTGCGTAATTTCTAACCTAATTAGGCTCAAAAATAGATCAATCGAAGCGTTTTTCAATGCTCTACTAGTTGGCATCTGTTTAATTTTTAAAAATCTCTTAAGGATGTTGGATACTCTCCTTTTAACTTAGAAGAATTGATAAAGGTTGCTTTTAAATGTCCTCAAGGCACGTTCAATTTTGAAAAATTGATTGATTGCATTGCTGTTAGTTAATACAATAATTTAGAAAAAGTACAAACTTGTAAAAGTTTTTCCTTAAACGAGATATTATAATTTTAAAATGCAGTTACAAAATCAGAAAAAAATTAGAGATCGTTCGACACGAGGATCTTGATGATTATGCAAATAACAAAAGCAGCAGGCGCAATTTTAATAGCAATCCTCCTCAAGAATGGTAATAGTATTCTACTGGACCGTATCAAGTCTTTAAGCTTGAGGCACATTTCGAGAGGATATATATATACACAAACAGGCAAAAGAACATGCACGCATTGAAATGGGTGAACAGTCGAGCAGGCGCCTAGGATAGTCAGGCAACCGAGTTTGCAAACAACTCTAGGCAGTATATCATGGTTTGCAAGGATATAAGTTTTTGATCGGCCTTCGCTTGAGCGACTCCCCGCTGCTTGACCTCATCACAACACGCTATTGGGGGTCTTTATAATCCTCCTTCGACTTTATCCATCCTAATCACCTTTTGTCTCGTTTCTGCCAAACATATTGTTGTCCCGATTACTTCTAATCGTTGAATTATTTTAAAATTTGTCTTCGAAATGTTTGAATCAGTATAAATAATAATGGAAATTGTCTTTCTTGCTGGACATCTGGGTAAAGGAACTGGATGCGGGCATGAAGAAGGGCAAGGTCGTGAATCCGGGTCGCTTGGAGACCAGAGTAAGAGCAGCTCACGAGAAGAAGTGAAGAAGAAGGGAAACAAGAAGAGGGAGGATCGCAATACTGTTTCGGTTTGCAGCACGCACGTGGAGTGGTGCAGTGTCCTGGAGTACACACAACACGCACAACTGAGTGAACTGAGAGTCCGAGATCTTCGGGAGCAAGGGCATGAAACACGGATACACACAACACTTACATCAGAGTGTGGGAACAGTCGGGAATGGTGGGTAGCATTTAATCAGAGCCCAGGGAGTAAGGAGTGAGAGTACCAGTATAGATGTATATGGTTCGGTTAGTTTTTGCTTGGGTGGTTGCCTGGAAATTGGCGCCAAATTAGTAAGGAGACGAGGCGAGGCTCACTCTTGTGCCTTGGGCTGCGTGACGCGAGACATTAAAAGTAACCTCTGCTCTTGTGCACCCTCTCCTCAATTCTCCTCCCCGTCTTTCCTCTTTGACCTCCCGCTTCCTCCACGACCTAAACCCTCCTGTTACCGGAGGCCTCCCTTCTATTTCACTCTCTCTCTCAGGTCCACTTCTGCCTCTTACTTATATCTTCTATACACTGGTGTCGGATTGGGTCCAGCAAAGACAGACACCAACTTGGAACCCGCGGCAACTCGTATAATCATGGTGTGCTCGAAAGGCACGACTAAAAAAGATTCTCACTTACCCTCTCCTAGCAGGCTCCACTCATACAAGTAGTATCTACTTTTGTTGTTTATACGATCTTCCACTGTGCTCGAGGAAGCTGCAGAATCCTCACGGAGAAGTCCTAAGATGATGGATGGTGCTAGATATGACAAATTCATTATATACTAAATGATATATGCTAGATGACGATCTAATATCGTCACCTTCGACAACAATCCTAAATTTATTTAACGCAATTTTACATCATGATCCGTATTATCTACGAAGAGATTTCGCCGGAAGAGAATTCCAGTTGAGGAACCACGAATTACTCCCCAATTAAATACCTAATTAATTACACTGGATCTCTTTATTTAAACCACAACCTATAAATAATCAATGATTACCAAAACCGAAACAATGCTCCTACTACAACAGCCGGTACACGAATGTTTTTTGGGCCAAAATATTCAAATTTTAGAGTACGGGTACATGCAATATGGACATACTACCCTAATTTTATAATGAAATTTTAAAATAGTCGCGTATTTTGTTACAATAATCACAAACATTTGATTAAACTTTCCAATGTTCTTAAATATTACTTCATCTTATAAACATTCTTGACAAATTGCAAAAGATTTTCTGAGCTTCCAGTTCAGAGAGGTTACGTTACGTAAAATAAAAGGCATTTATGATGAATATAACTCTTCATGCCATTTGAAAATTTGAATACACAGTTATTATGTCGTTGGTCAACAATATTATAAAAGAGACACGAAATCGCTAATACATCCATTTGGAAAGTAACAGTGATGATGATGCCTCCATTTGAAACCGCAAGTTTATCGTTTTATAGGGACATAAAGATTCAATATTGCAATTATACAAGACTTCATCATCTAAACTCGCAGGCAATAGTGTATATAGTATAGGATAATCATAGACGGAATTTGAAATGGGTGGAAAAAGTCCTAAAGCCTTGTCGACCATACTCTCTTGGCAGCTGTTTGCAAGACAACCCGACTGAAAGCTATTCGAATCTATACGGAGCATGTTATTATTTTTTATGGTTGCCAGAAGAGAGAACCGCGTAATTTGACGTTTAGCGATTTAAACGTTTGTCTGTGATCGCCGCGACGCATCTATAATCTTGCGAGCCAATTCGGACCTCGGGAACATGCAACGCGCTAAAAATGCAGCTGCCAAACGGAAGAGGGTTTTTTCCTCTTCTATCTCTTTTTTTGCGCCTAGATTTCTACAATTTCACATATATGTTTCTCTCCTTTTTCGAGAAGATCTCCCATCGTTGACAGACGTTTTGCCTGCAGAGCAGCAGAGAGGGCAGACGATTAAAATTCATACACCAAATGACTGATTGGGAGTTTCGCGAAAGAGAAAATGAGATACACACAAAACTTTGACAGACAAAAGATATATAGAACCTCCCGTATAACCCAAGGCATTTCTATGGCATTAAATCCTAATTTCCATATAGTAGAGAATTCTGGAACATTTGACTATTTTTTCCGAAACGCTTATTCTAATTTCTATTTTTCAAAAAATCACGCAACATTCAAATCTCGTCCAATTTTATGCTCTATATATAGACACCAAATGGCGCTAGTTTCAAAAAAAGCATTTGCATACACCTTATGGGTAATTTGAACCATTTTTTTATTAACTGGTATAAGCATAGTTCAATAATTAAAGTATGGAAAGATGAGAAAAAAAATTGAAGTATAATGTTTATGACAGGTAAGATGCACTCTAATAGTACTATCAAATGTTACATCTAATTAAGAGTAAGAAAATAAAAACATCCCCCGTAGGCGATAGTTGACGTCTACATTATCCGCATAATAATGCAATGCACCCACAGGCGTGTCTTTCTCACGAACCAGTCAACTTACATGTTTTCCGCGTGAATGGCAGTCGGCAATTTAACGATATACAGCAAAATTCCCGACATTTTCCGCGAGTGCGTTTGTGTATGTGTACGATGTCAGTTATATCTACGCGATAGAAAAGGATATTGCTTCGAACAACTTATCGCGACGATTGCTATATATGACAGTGACAGTTCGATAATTGCACTATACCTCGCGCAACACCGGGGAAGCAAAAGTTAAATTCATTTTGCAATCCGACACACTATGTATACATTCTTGCCAAGATAAAATAATTTTAATCGCACAACTCTAAAATTAGAAACACCCTATAAAACAATTATAATTCTGAAAGGATTTCAAACTTGAGAAAAATATTTTTTCACAAAAAAATTATTTCTGCATATATTAATTTCATAAACCAAAAAAAGGATGATAAACTTGATTTTTTTTCATCGGCATCGTTACAATTTCAATGCGGCTTAGGGTTTGGATCAGAAAAATTCTGATTGTATTTACCTCATCAGTGGTCACGCGACGCCAAAAATCAGATAATTTTTTGCGAGATATGAGAAAAAGAATGAGACTAATAAGTGGATCTGTATATTGAGGAGAAGACGCGTCTCTGTCATTAATATGAACCATGAAAGCTATTAATAACTCGTTAATGAGGATTCATGGCCCTCCCCTTTTGTATTCCGTTTGTACTGCGTGCGTGCAACTTGGGACGAATAGGGTTGAATATCATATATACTTTCACCACATGATACTATATACGCATCAATCTATCCACCTCAACACATACGCACTTTTAAGTGCACATTCATATGTGATTTATAACACTACACGTCCTTCTTTGACGTCCATGATCGACTTAATTATTATAGCCGAAAAACTTAACCTATCAAGTAACATAATCATCTATTTGAGCTGTTACTGTTATTCCTATTCCTCGATCTCATTTAAACTTCTTCTAATCATATTGGCAAACAAAATAATTACAAGACTGGATGACAGTATAAAAAATTATCACCAACTTTTAGGTTTTATTTTTTTCTAGAAAAGCATTCTCGAAAAAAATGGAAAATATTCGCTACAAAAGAAGTTTGTAATCCTAAAGATTGTTACAATATAAAAAATTTATAGTTCAAGTCGCGGATGATCATTTAGGCTCCCTA